GGTTATTTAGATAGTAAGTGGATTCAATTCTAGGCAATTACTCCAAATATAGTGTTCTTTTCACTCCACTATATTGCCTTTCTGTGTGCGTCAGACATACGTATGAGGGAAGGTGGTAGAGGGCTTGTATGCAAAGCATGAAGAAGGACTGGGGAGGGGGGACAGGTCAGAAAAGGTATGAAAGGGGGGATTTGATGGGTGTGAGTAAAAACCAGGTAGAAGGGGTGGTAGAAGGGGAAATAAGTGGGATATGAGTTTTGGGGATAACTCGTGAAAAGAGATGGGGGAATTGTGAAGAGATTACGTGGGTTGATAGGAATACATTGTGAAAGAAGATGGTGGTGAATATGTGTGAAAGGGAAAGCACCTAGTACTGGAGATGGGGGAAAGGAGAAGGGACTGAAGGGTTGTTGTTGAAGCAGGTTTAGGTCAGGGTTATGGCAGGCAGAGAGAAGATTAAGAAAAGCCCAATTTCCTTTGTTTTCCCACCTATCTCACTTTTCCCCTAATACCTGTATAGGGACAATCTCATAGTCAATATGAGCTTATTTTGAATTCTAAGTGGGACCTTCCCAACTCCCATCTTTAGAGTCTCTATTTAAATTGTTTGGAACATCAGGATTTTGCAGGGAAAATGGGAAACGCTTTACTAATTTAATGTAGGACAAATGTTGGGAGCTCAACCCAGCCTCTTTCAGTTTTACTCCTGGGGTGAGATGTACATGAACCCCAAAAAGCATGATGGCGGCAGAAAGAAATTGAAAAGGTGGTCTAACTCCAAATGAGATAGTAGACTGGGCTAATGGAATGACAGGGAGGACAGAAACAGAGGGAGTTCAAAAGTCAGCTTTAAAATATTTAAGAGATTTTCCAGGTAACAGATTCTGGCTGGGCGTTACCAAAAGGTGCCTGCCATTAGGCTATGAGCTAAAACAGCTAACAGGCTCTTCCCCCAGACCAAGAGAAGCCAGCAGGGAATAGTAACAATTTAGCAAAGACCTAACCAGCAATTGGTTATAGAAGAGACAGCTAGGTGGTACAACAGCTAGGGTGCCAGTCCTAGAGTCTAGAAGACTCCTCTTCCTGAGTTCAAATCTAGCCTCAGTCACTTACTAGCTATGTGACTCTGGGCAAGTCACTCAACTCTTTTGCCTTAGTTCCTCATCTGTAAAATAAGCTGGAGAAGGAAATGGCAAAGCACTCCAGGATGTTTGCCAACAAACCCTAAATGGGGTCACGACTGAGGAACAACCCAGTAGTGGGCAGCAGAGAGCAGTTCAACAGAGATCAGCAGAGAGAATGTAGCTTGCCTGGTGATATCACAAGAGGACACTGGAAGTTCTAAAGGGAAACAAACAGCCATGTTGGTTGCCTGAATTTTTTCCATTTCTTATACAAGGGGGGAGGGGAACCAGCATTTAGTAAGCACCTACTACATGCTAGAAATAGTTCTAAGGGCTTTACCAATAATATCTTATTTGATGCTCACAGCAACCTTATGAGGTTGGTGCTGTTATGATCTACTCTCCCTCAGTGGTAATCAAGGGAGAGCACAGGCTGGTGGAATCTTTCTCACAACCTATTTTATGCTGTTGTTTGCTTTGAACTAATGTCTTCCAGTCAGTCAGCAAAAGAAGCACATTGGTGGGAATTTGTAAGCTTATGGTTCCGAACCCACAATGTTTGTTGGACTTAAGGTAACTCTCAGTGAACCATGTAAGAGGTGCCTATCCATCAACAAACATTTATTAAGCACCTATCATATGCCATGCATTGTACTAAGCCCCGGGGGTACAAAAGACAGTCCCTGCCTGTCTCACAATCCACTTGAGGTGCTGAACTATCAAGAGTCAAGAACTGACCCCAAACATCATGGAAATGTTAATGAAGAATAGATGAAAAGTAGCAAATTGCTTGGTGACTAGGTCTCCTTGGAAGGGGGTAAAGGAACAAATGGAACTCTTGATCAAATTCTATTTCACCAGGCTCTCTCCTATATTTACTGTAGGAAATCTTAAAAAAAAAATTTCTTTTCTTTGTGCTTCACAGAGAACTGTAATGGGTGGAAGCCTAACTTTTGCCCTAATTGAGTACAAGCATCTACCTGCTGCCAGAGGACTTTGTGTGCTGGTCTACTTTAAGAGAGGAGTGTCTTTTGAAGGCCACCACGATTCCCTAGGGGTCCTTCCTACCTGTAAAAGGGTTTATACCTTGGGCAAGGGCCAGCTAGTGAATATTAGAAGTGGATTTAGCCTGGAGATGAGAACCAGGTGCGATGTTCACAGTTGGAGGATTTCCAGGGCAACACTTTAGAAGGACAACAGCATGATTATAAGCCAATTCCTCCCTCTGCTAATTAAATCTCGTCTGCTGCTTACCCCTAGATTCCCTCTGCAGGACTGAACAAAGACAGCCCTGCAGAAATGAACAGTAACATTCTCTTCTGAGCAAGGTTTGTACTTGATGCTGTGGCAAAAAGTTACAGGGTCTGGGTTCAAACCCCAGCTCTACCACTGTGCCACTGGGCAAGTCATGGCTTTTACGGGTATCACTTTCCTCATCTGTAAATTGAGGGTTTAGAGGACCCTTAAAGACACTTCCAGGTCTAAATGTAAATTACATAAATTATATGCAGAAGAATATCGAGAATGTTCTCTTACAGGACAGCCGGGATCAGAGAAGGAAAGGAAATAAAACTTACTAGCTTTGGCACTGAAGCAGCCTTTTGTCCCTTTCACTCTTTTATTTACATATTGAACCTTCCTAGCTTACAGGAGAAGCAACCACCTGACTTGCAGAACCCCAGGCACATTCAGAAAGGCACTACACATACCCGGAGAGAACGATCTCCAGGAAGCTAGTCAGAAAGTTATAAACTGTGGAGATTAATTTCCCAAGTCTAGATAATGTATAAACTTCCTAGGTACTGAAGGTGATAATGGAATTAATGGAGTGAAGAGCAGGATGGAGGGCCTCTAGCACGACATCAGGTTTCTCTGCATAAACTTTTTGGAATGAATGCAAGCATTGTGCTGTAACAATATCAACGCCACGGCTCCCTATCCAATAATCAGTCTTCCAACATTTGGATCCGTTTATGCGATAGGGGTATCTCCTGTATTGCAGTTATGCAACCTCATTCTTGCAGCGCCAGTTACTTCCTGTACTTCTAACTGTGCCAGATTCACGCAACCCGCCCAACGTAGGCTTCAATGAACTGCCCAGTTCTCCATTAAGAACCACTTTAACCTTCTGGGATGAATGCTCGGTACCGATATTCCTAGCGTTGCAACAACCACCAGAGTTCCTGTGTCCTGGGGGATTGAAACACTTAGAATGGCAACCCGAAGCTGGGGAAGTGGGGGGAGAGGGGCTTACAAGCAATGCTACCCCAACAACAGTAGGCGGCGCTGTTTGCATGGTCCCTCCCTCTCGCCCCCACCAATTGGGGATAAACTCAAGCCAGTTCCGTTCCTAGTGCTATTAGAAAAAAGCAGGGAGGAGAGAAGGGGGGGGCCCTAATCTACTGAATAGTTTAGCTCTCCCCTTTATGCCGCAGGAAGTTATGTCTTGCTCCCCAAACAGCCTGGAACTTCCACATGGAGTGGCAACGTGCTGCAACAATGCACACCCTCCAGCACCTCCCAGTGCATGGAACTACTCCCCCCTTCCCTCCCTCCCTCCTCCGAGTGCCAAGAGTTTGGAGCGCGCGCATGCACACACATACACACATACACACGAGGAGTGGGCTATCCAATATATCCCTCCGCCCCCCTTTCCCCCTTAAGTGACTTGACAACGATTTGAGAAATGAAAGGAGGAGGGAACTACTTTGCTGAAACTTGCTCGGCAGCGCACGGCTGCGGGCTGCAGTGATTCTCCCAGAGGCTCAGGTTCTCCTTTCTCCTCCCCACCCTCCCCCGTACCCCCTCTCTCTCTTTTCTCGCCCGCCCTACACCACTTCGGGGCTCCAGCTTTTCGCTTGCCTCCCCACCTCCCAAACTCCTCTCCCGGGACGAGCACGCAGCCACGAGGGAAGTCGCGAGGGACTACTTCTCGGCCATCGTCCCCCACCGGGGGGCCTCGGGGAGTCAGGCTCCTCGCCGGCCGCGGCCGCAGCTGCGGAAGGAGCGGGCGGCGTGCGTGCTTCCGCCGCCTCCCCTCCTTTCCCCTCCCCTCCGGTGATTCCCCCTTGCCCTCCCCCCGCCCCCCGCCAGCCTCTCGTCCCCGCCCCCCTCTCCCGAGTGAGAGAGAGGGAGCTCGTCCATGGAACCACTGCTGAGCACTGGCTCGGACCGCCCCCGATTCCCATTCCTCTCAGACTCCTAACTCGGACCGGGTGCCCCGTGAGGGGGGCCCTCGTCGGCGCCCCCCTCCTTTCGCCCCTCGCTCTCCCCCGCCCCGCGCTGGGTGGGGGCGCTTCACCCTCGTTGCCTCCCTCCCCCCACTCTCGCTCACACTCCCAGACGCACTCACCGCCCCGTGCTCCCCCCCACCCCCCGGCACTGGAGGAGTCCCCGCCGCTGGATCGTGTCTAGAGGAATCCGCCGCCGCCGTCGCGGGGACCCCGGCTCACTCTGCCCTGCCCTGCCCTGCAGCCCCCGGAGGAGCGAAGCCGCCGCCGCCGCCGCCCGGAGAGGCGGGCGATGGTGGGGTGGGCTCGCCTCTGCCGCGCGGAGCCCGAGCTCGGCAGCCCGCGTGCCTGAGCGAGACTCGCGCCGCGGAACCGGCGCCACTTGTGACCCCCGGAACGGGCGGCGGGCAGCGAGGTCGGCAGCCGACACCGACTCCGACACCGCCACCGCCACCGCCACCGCCGAGATTGTGGCCACGGCCGCCGCCCCCCCGCGGGGCGGCCGGGGTTCCCGGGAGGGGAGGAGGGGGGGGCCGCTCCAGGGGAGGTGTCCACCATGGTGAGGTCCCTGACCCGCTCCTCCCGCGCCCCCCCGGCCGCCGCCTCCGGCCCCTCGGTGCTGCCGCCGCCGCCGCTGCTGCCGCTCCTGCTCCGCCTCCTGCCGCCGCCGCTGCTGCTGCTGCTTCTCCATCTCCAGATCGGATCGCGGTGAGGGAAAAATGAGCGAGGAGACGGCGACTTCTGACCACGAGTAAGCGAGCCCCTTCTGACCCCGGCCCCTGGAGCCCCAGTGAAGGCTGCCTGCCCACCTGCACCCCCCGAGAGTTTGGGGCTGGGGGGGCGTGTTGGGGAGATTGGATGGGGGGGAGAGGACATTCCCCCCAACCCTACCCCCATGCCTTCCCTGTGAACTGGTTTCCTTTTGGGGGACTGGGGAGGTTGTCTTGACTTTTGAGGTAAGGGTCCTCTCAGCCCCACCACGAGAATGTATGAGTTGGGATGCTTTGAGAGGTGAGGTTGAAATGCATGGAAGGACTGGTCTGTTTCCTCACTCCCCCCTCCAAGCACACCGACACGCACACATCTAGAACATTCATCCTTTTCCCTTTATAGCTATTTCACATGGAAACTCATGTGTGGGAGCACCATCCTGCAGCAAACTGCTCCTCAATCTTAATTGGATGAGTCAGTGACTAAATACAGATTAAGTCGTTACCCCCCTTTTTTTTCTTAAGATCCACCTATAAGGTACTTTTAAAAAAGTGGGGGTGGGGAGAGATGCTGAACAATTTTAGGATGAAGTAAGAGTAAAGACAAAACAGGAAGGGATCTATTGGGGCTATTTCGTCTATGTTTTAGACTTAGATTTTATAACTCTATCAATGAGATGGACTCCAGGATTATTTTTCTTTGAATGGTATCCCTTCAGGACATTCTTGTCAGCAGACCTAAAAGGAAGCACGAATGGTTTAACAATATTTACACTGCTGAACATGTCGATGATCTCATTCATTAACTTTTCTTTACAAGCTATCGTGGGTTAAGGCTGTACTTATTTGGTCACTTCTGTTTGCCAAAGTAGTATTTTTGACATTTAAATCTTTTAACAACTGATGCATGGCGATTTGGTGATTCAGTGAAGAGATAGAATTTTTTTTTTGTTGGGGACTGAAAATTCTCTGAGAAATTTTATCATCTCTTCACTAATTTTAGAAGTTCACTTTTTGCCTATTTTTTTAGTTCAATTTTTGTTTTGTTTTCAGGCGGAAGAAATAATAGGGTGGGAGAATTGTCATTAAGACAGATTCCTTTAAATAAAATACACATTCCTCAGCACAAACCTCTTGGAGAGAGGATTCTCAAGCTCCTAAAAACCTTGAGGCCTGTAAAGCACGAAATAGCTTGAGAAATAGCAAGCAGCAGTCTGGAGGAAAAAAAAAAAGCTCCCGCTTCTGCTTAGCGGGTGTAGAAGGTGGACTGCTGCAGTGTCGGTGCAGCCAAGAAGCAGAAGTCGCCGCCATGTTCTCTTCGTCTCTTTTTGTGAATCGCTCTTATTTGCATAGCACAATCTTCATTCATAAAAAGTAATTAAACCACCACCACCTTGGACGTTCTGAAAGCATTTGTCAGGGAAATAAGTACGAGTTTTCTGGGTGTGTGTCTCCAAGAAAACATCTGAATTGAAGAAGTAAAGAGAATTTGAAATTTTAGGTCAAATTAAAAAAAAAACCACACACACAGACACACACACAAAACAACCACCCCTGTTCACTGCATGTTGACACAGTTATGTGGGAAATATCAGTTCGGGGAGGTGCTGGCATCACGTGATCTACTCCATTCATAAAATACCTGGCTGTCCATTCACAGTGCAGTGCACTGTCTCTCAGCCTTCAGCAGATTAGACCTGTTTTGTGAGAGACTCAAAAGATCTTTTTCAGGGAATGCTTCTGGAGGAAAACCATCGAGCTACCCAAAGAGGGTTTTTTTTTGGTGTTGGGGGGTCTCCACACAAGCAATTTAAATTAAAACGTCGAATTGCATTTTAGGAAAGGGGAAAGACTTTTTACTAAACCAAGGCCATATTTTTAGATGAAAAAATAATTTCCTTTTTGGCAATAGCTAACAGAAAAGCAAGTCATAGAATTTAGATTGACATAAATGTATCTCTAGTAATGAAAATAGGAATTCTTTTTTGGTATCCTGAGGACAAGTGGAAAGCATAAATATAGTGTATTAATGGGTTGGTCATATTAATACTGACAGTTCATGTAAGCTAATGAATATTCGCAATTGTTTAATCTTATTTCAATATTTGAAGTATTTTGAATTAAAAATAATTTGACCTTTAAATTTGAAATATTTAGGTACTAAGTATTTAACATTAAATATTTAAAAATATTTAAGCCATGTAATAGAAGAATATTTAGAAGTTTCATCATATGTATTAAGTCTTAGAATAATGCTTTTGCAAACTTGTCTAGGTCTATAACTAATGGACTGTTCTTTAGGACCATGTAATGATACTGATGTTAATAAGACAGAAATGACACTCTGTCCTTTCGTATTAAAATGAAAAAGATATGCTATATTTTGATAATAAACCTGGAGGTTTTGTATTTTGCTTTAGAAAAGGATGTATGCTTCAAGTAATTACTTTTCTCCTAGACAGTAACATTGAGTGGCAATGAATAATGTTAGTTGTGATATTCAGTTTTCTAGAACCCATTTTATACTCAAGTAATCTAATTGAAAAGTTGTAGGTTATCTTTTACTTAAAAGAGCATATTTAAATGACTAAATGATAATAGTATTATGCTCTACTTGTAAATAAGGAAAAAAAACAATTAGGCATAAGGCAAAATTAAAAAGTGTTTAAGGCCTTGCTGTTTTGTTTAAAAAGAAGAACAAAACACTGCCTTGAAACATAGATTTAATTATTTGTGGGAACTTAAATAGGTGTTTAGCCAACAAGGCCAGGGATTTAATTACAATAGGAAACCATGCACTTAGAATTTTTTCCTTTTTTCCTAGATCTCAGCTTAACAAGGTGAGGAAAAACCCCTTATCACTGGGAAACCATTAAGCCTCTCTAGTAAGAATAGTGCTAGGTTGTAGTCAAGGCCTCTAAAGGCCTCATTCTGCAGTTCTTTCATCAGATATACCATGCTTCTTCAATTTGGAGTTGTGTCTCTAGGAAAGGATTGGTTATTTTAAAAATTATTAATTATTGAGTATTTACTGTATACATAAAGCATTGTGTTTATAGCAAACCAGATTTAAGAGAAAAAGATTACATTGAGGAAATAAGAATGAAAACTACATTTGTTATCTTAGATTATGCCTTTTTATTATAATCACCCCTAAAATTTAGCTTTCTGATTTTTCTTAATGAATGATAAGTAGAAGCCTGTAATGGTGTGTGTAAATGAATGCTATGGAATAAAACATGGCAGTTTTTCTCAATAGAGATTAAGGTTGAAGTACTTGAAGCACTAGAAAAATCTACCCACATAAAAAATAACAAGTTGATAAACATTAATTTTAAGGAAATTATTTAAAGTAACAACATTCAGAAGTAAAATGTTTTGCTAATTCACTTAGCAAATTCTGTTTTGATTTCCTGATTAAAGTATGTTAGGTAATATTTAAGCTTTGCCACTGGATAGGATACATTTTCCCTGTTTTTGTCATTTTAGTGTTCATAGGATAGATTTTTTTCAAAAATCAGCTGGAATGTTAAGCATTAGATTATCTGATATATTATAGCCAAGAGCAATGTAGTCTTGCTAGTCCTACATTTCCTTTGATAAAAGAAAATCTATGGAAGTTTCATAATCTGAGCATTATTTGCGATTGATTAGAATTAAGTTTCCCAATATAATGTACTTGATAGTCTAATATAAGTAGCTTGAACCGTGTTTTCTAAAGCAAACATTTTACTTGAGGCATTATTGTGGTTTGGAAAGAAAATACTGGATTTGGATTCAGAGTACCTTAGCACTGCCATTTAATAACTGTGTGACCTTAGAGAAGACCTGTGACTTTGCTGAGTCTCAGTTTCTTCATCTCTTTGATGAGGGGGTTGGCCTGAATGACCTCTAAAGTTCCTACCAACTCTAGATATATACTCCTATGTTCTCTTAATGATTGTGCATTTTATGGCAGAAAAAAAATGTTTTCCTTTGGAGGGTGTGAAGAGTAACTGAAATCTCTGGGGAATATTTAGTGATAAATTGTCATTAAATTATTGCCAATTTCAATTCATATTTTTCTAGTTTATTATAAGGTATATTTTGAAACTTGCTACAATTCACTTTTCTGTGTATCCAGTTTGCATTTTCACATGCATAAAATGGTCACTATCAAGGTTTCAAACTTAGTTGATTGATTCTGTTGTTATATTAGGTAGCATTGTGCCCGGTTCTGGGAACAAATGCTTGATTCCCAACACTTGGGTAGGGATATAGAGTCTTAGAAAAACTTCTACTTAATTTAAACATAATTTTACAAGAAAGATCATCTTGTGATTTAGACCAAAAATGTTTTTTTTTCCTATATTTTGCCTCTGTAGAGCTGTCTTTTATCAGTAACGGAGAGCCTGTATAATGGTCTGCCCATTCTCTGATAAAAAATAACTTGCCCGCCGCCCCAAAAAAAAGTCCACCAAAACCATTTGTCAGGTAAAATTGTAATAACTAGGCATGTACTGGATATCCTTGGACTAGGACAAAAAATGATGAGCTGCTTCCCACATAGAGCAAAAGATAGAGCTCTCTTCCTGCCTGTCTCTTGCACACCCAAACTTTGTATAATGAGTTGACAGCTATGTCTAAAAACTGAGTGTATCACTTCCAAGACTTTTTTTTTTTTAGAGCTTCCAAATTACAGGAGATTGCAGGTGGATAGGAAAATTAGAATTGCTTAATTATTTGGACTGCTCAGAGAAGAGGGAGAGGTTAGTAGGTTTGACAATTTAAAGGCTACCAATTGTTAGTAACCAAAAAATCAAAGCCAGAGAAAAAGGACTGATATTTTAATTCCAATCATCTATAGCTTCAGTAGACCTGAAATTTGTTAAGCTTTTTTCAGTTTGGGATTGTATAGGGGAACTCTTCCTCTGGTCCCTATAATAATAAAATGTTATATCTGAAAAGTAAGTGGTATTGTATTGCTCACTGAGCCCAACCCTTTGAGCTCACACAGCTGACTATTGGCATAAAATATACCTGATTGTCCCATTGACAATTC